ATGAGTAAACGGGGCTTCCATGCCCTCTTCAAGCATGCCACTCTCCCAATATCTCCTCATGCTCAACAACCCAGAAGCTCCTTCCTAACTTCTTTAAGGCCAAATAGTATTCCACTATATGTATATAACACATATTGCTTATCCATTCATCCACTGAAAGGCACTTGGGTAGCTTCCACAATTTAGTTAATGTGAATAATGCTGCTAAAAATATCGGTGTACAAAATCTACCCAATCTTGATGAAGAGTATCTCATTTCAATCCATTACTCTGTATGGATACACCACATACACAAAATCTAGAGTGAAGGTCCAGAAGGAAAGTAAGAAAAATTACTTATTTCATTGCTTTTTTTCATATCATGTCTAATTTCTTTTCTCTCTAGTTAGCCTTACCAAATCTAGACCATCAAAACACTTCACGCCTCATAGTACAGTATTATTATTTATGGCCTTTTGGCTTTTCCCATAGAGCTCTCCATTCACAGATGACTATTCCCAACATCTTCCAGCTTCAAAACTCATTTAACATCCCACTTTTACTAAACTACTTCCCTTCACTTTCTGTTAACTGAAAAGAAAAGAAGCATGCTTCGTTAAAGCACCCCTAAAACGTTTCTAAAGTACCCATTAAATTAATGAAAGTAACTGTGAATCAACAATAATGAAGTTTACTTTAAAAGCAAAAACTTCCTAGGGTACATAAATAAAAATAGAGTACTACAAATAAAATTGCAAGCTTATCCTACCACTACCTAACACTAGTAACTCCTTTGAATTTTTCTCATCTAAGAGAAGATAATGAAATGTGCTAGTAATTTTAAGAAACATTGGAAATGATCAAGAGTAGGAAATAAGAAAAAAAGTTTTGTCCTGCTTTATTAACTTGGGACTAGACTGGAAAAGAGAAATGTGAAATACAAATAGCCTTAAAACCTACAGCCACATTACAAATGTACTGCACTACTGATTTACACACCTTAAGGACAGCCCTCTGATAAAAAGTAAAAGGGCATGGGAAATACCAATCTTGTACTATGGTATGTGCTAACTGTAAACAGAAAAATGTATGACCTTTTTGACATATACACAGATACATCTGGTCAACATTATTTGCTGCCATCCTGTGAAAGAAAACCAAAATTAGCAGTCCAAGAACCAGTAGCTACCAAAATACATTTAGTTGTTCTAAATAAGAACGTTAAATAAGGCATTCTTCAATGACTTCACTAGCTACAGCCCCTAACTAAGAAGTTTTACAGTATAGCAAGAAAAACTCCAAGAGTCTGGCTATTCTTCAGCTCAGGATTACCAAAGGAAAAATTGAAAAGGGTTTACCAAACTAAACAGGTATTTAGTTCAAGTCAATTTTATGACCTAGGCAAAAAACTGAGCTAAGTAGAGATAGATAGGCTTTTGTTTGAAAACTAGGGTGATGGAACTTTTCCAAGAACATAGATCTCATCTCTGAGATATTCCAGAGATAAAAGCGCCTAAAGCCAGAGCAAACCAAAATACCTTTTCAAGATTCCTTCAACCCCTGATGATGTTAGGAATATCATCTTATTCTCTGTATATAAGAGGTTATAAACATAATCTGGGAAAGCAGGAAAGAAAAAATCATTCCTGTAACATTGTGATTATGGAATACATCCCAGAACCTTTCCCAAAGATAATCAGAGAAACTCAAGCATCAGAGAAATCCAAGGGTCTTCAAGGCAATAACCAGAAGAAGCAAATTATAAATCAGAAGCATTGGGAGTGCTATCCACTGGCTCAGAATTTAATCATCTATGTCAACAATTTCAACATCCCTAAGTTTCTTCCCTGGAAGGAAACAACAAGATGACATCAGAAATAACTGACTTTATTCTCATTCTTTATGCACTTAAATTATCTTAAAGAAATCTTAATCCCTTCCTCATAGTTCTTACTGGTGGTGAGTGCTCTTACAAAAAGTCATTTCCCCAACCTAATTTTTCACAATTTCTCTGTTTTATAAACCCACACACACATTCATTCCTTAACTTGAAAAATGCTTCACAGCTTAAGGCAGAGCAGAATACTGTGGCGTGAGTGGAAAATTTCTATAACAATAGAAAAGACAAGTGTATCCTACTCAAGTCTCCTACTTAGCCATTAATAAGCACTGTGTCATTCTCAATAAAATTACTTGACATTCCCATTTTAGTAACCTCTATCCACAAACCTTCAGAATATCCTACTTTATTAGCTAAATACATTAAAGACATTCTTTTGTAAAACTAAGTAATGACAAATTGACAAGCATTATGAAGGTGATTTATCATCCCAAAACTGTGAAAGAAAGCAGATACTCCTGCCAATAAATGTCATTTGAGAAAGCTTAGTGAAAACCCTCAACATAGCCATAAAAAAGAATATTACATTAGTGAAATATAGCAACACATTTCAGTGTGCAACTACCATTTAATATTCAGTTGTAACTTCAATTGGAACCCTTTGCATTCAATAATTTCTAGGACTATAATTCAGCTATACTATAATATGAAATGTGAATATTTTTTTTAGAAAGTTAAAAAAAGAAAAATAACTGGTATTTGTTCTTTAATAAAAAAGGTATATTCATGCTTAGATAACAGCTTCCCCAACTACACATGGATTTTATTCTAAATCCCATTAAGTTCCCAAAGCAACTGGTCATTTGCAGTCATTACAATGTCAACCTGTTGAGGTTTTTGTATAATACTCTTTGTACAAACTGGCTAGACTGCCATTACCATAATTTTTCATAATAACATAGATAAATCACTACTGTGATTTTAAGCTGATAGAAACATTCTCAGAATAAGAAACCCAAACTTATATACTTAAATTTTTCTTCAATTATTGAATTAACTTCTCTAGAATCCAATACAAAATTTCTCTTAGTAATCAAAGTTAAAATGTTATATAACTACAAAAAAGTGTGGTTTTTCTACAATCCCCCCAAAACAGAAGAAAAAAAGATATAAGAATGTGAATAAATTTATAATCTACCAACCCTACCATGTAGTTTTTAAATAAACAAATCGACTAAAGCTACAATATCATATGTCTGTTAAAATAATGAGAGAGAGAGACAGCCCTGAAGCCCCACTGTCCCAAAGGTTGTCTAGTTAAGTCCAAGAAAAGAGGAACATTTGTAAAGTTGAGATTCAGCTCACTCGTCTATCTTCCCCAAATCTAAACCACTGAGAGCCAATCTTTCAGTTTTTCTTTATTATTAATTAGATAATTTTATATTGCATTGTTTTCTGTAACAAAGAGTACAACAGAACAAATTAACATGATAAAATGTAGAAATGTCGAAATGATGCCAATTAGTATAATGGTGGCAAGTTTACCTAATATTCAAAAAATAATTTATAAGCAGGGCTTTTAAGAATTCACATTCTTTTAAGTGAATGTCTTAATCATTCAGTTTATTTCTTGTAAATAAGAACAAGATCAGCCTGTCAACACAAAAAATGTATTCTTTTAAGGCTTTCCAAGATTTCCAGTATCTCATCTTTACCAGAAAGCTTATTTAATGGCAGCCAATTTGCAAACATCAAATTTAAGATTACAGCTTCAGTAAAACAAGAAGAAAGAAATTAAAGTTCACTTCAACTATTTATGTTGGCATAGACTAAAAAGACTACTTAAGAGAAGAATGACACCAAGGGCTCCATTTTGCCATCACTCAAGTGCTGCATGAACCAGTTTTTAATCAAGAGACAGACATAATGAGTCTATCATTAAAGTATGCAAATTCATTACTACTTCTTTGTGAAAGTTTGACATCTTGGCACATATCACATATTTGCAAACTGAGTATGCATTCCACTAAAAGGCCAAACAAAGAAACTAGAATAATTCAGCTTTTTAAGTTTATGTTTTCATGAAACAAGAAAACAGCTAAGAGTATGCTTACAATATAAGACTGCTAAGGTCAATTTAATCATCACTAGATCTGCAAGTTTCCTTCAAAAATCTTTACTGTCTTAGAAACAATCATTCATGACTTAACAGTATAATTGAATGCAAACTAAACCACAAACAAAAGCATCTAAATAGCAGACAATGCCTTATTAACTAACATTAATGGCAATTAAAAGGAAACTTCTATTATTTACAAAGATAATACAATACCCTTCAGTAAATAGTCATTTTGTCCTAGATCCATGGAAAAAGCCCAATGAGAAATGAAATTGTTCAATTTTATACTCTCCTTATAATCAGGAATAAATTTTAATAAACTTAAATTTAATAAATTTAAATTTAATAAACTTAAAAGCATTTTTCAAGAAAAGTTACAGTTTTTCCAATTCTTCATTTTTAAATCATAGCATTTTCTTCTTCTTAAAGCTTTATATTTGATAGCTTTGTAAGAAAATGTATGAATAAAGGTAGTAAATATTAAACGTTTACCAAAAAAATTACTCTGTTCTATTGATGGCAGTGAAGGCTGGAGAGAGAAACTAATGTTTTGGAATTTTTTTAAATACTTAAAAGACAAGTATGACAAATATATGATTAAAGAAAACAACTTTCATCTCTTCTAATACAAACATATTATATAGTTTCTATTCAAATATTCTCATACATCCACACATTTAATATAAAGAGAAATGATAATGAGCTAACTTCTGTTCACTATGTACCAGGCACTGTGCTATGTGCATTACACTTACAGCAATTCTGTAACTAAGTGATCACGCCCAGCAAGTCCATCTGGTAGGTAAAATTGTTAGCCCTATTTAACATAGGTGGGGAGGAGAAACAGGGAGGCACCAAGAAGTTAAAGAATTCAATCATAGCCACACAGTCAGTATAAGAGCTGGGATTCAAACCCAGAGAGTCTGGCTCCATACCAAATTTTGGAATTACTATATTACAGTGTGCATAAAGTATACACAGTAGATGACACAATGCCTGACACCGAGGAGGTATTAATAAACGTGTAACTATTATCATACCACTTATCATTTCTTTACTTACTCTGTGATAATTCTGGATTTCCTTTCAGATTCATCATCTTTGGAATTGAAGGGCCATACACATCCACATCTAACAAACCAATGGCTTTTGACTGTAAGAAAACAGAATTTACCATATTATTCCCACTCTTCATCAAACATAAAGTACACAGCAACAGTAAATCTGACTACAGAAAATTTGCAAAATATTCCAAAATCATATCTTAAATTTTCAAAGCAACACTAAGGTAAAAGAGCATAAATTGCTTAGGGTAAATACTTTTTATTGGTTTATTAATAACTGACTAGAGAAACCCACTGTACATGCTTTATACGTTGTGGTTCAGATCTCCAACATAGTCTCAACTAGACCAAAATCTTTAAGATCTGAGAACTAACAAATCACACACAATTTATTAAAATAATGATTTACAATGGCAAACAAAACCCCAGGAAAATGGAGCATTAACTTTCAGAAAGCCCATCTAACATACCAAAGAATACAAAATGAAAAAAAAAAATCATGGAAACAAGACCATACTAAAAGAAGTGAGAAATTCTGATGTAGATCTGGTACAGAATGCCAACAAGGGTAGTAACAGACATGATACAGAAATAACCTCAAGCCACAGTTGAACACCCAAGGTCTTCTGGAGAATTCATACACTAAAACTGCTCTCTTTGATGACCCATCCAGCTACTCAAAGGCAGAAAATCCAGACTGGTCTCTTCGCTAGCTGTCAGTTTATGGGCAGATTAGCCAAGTAAAGGAAACAAAATTCACTATTCAGAAATGTCTTTTTTTTTTTAAATTTCCTCCTCTTTCTGCTGTGATAGGTTAAGTCAATCTGTTACTCTATTTCCTCATACGGATGCAGACAGAATACTAACTATATGCCTTTGAGTATGTTTCACGAAGACTTATAACTCTCCTCCTTCTCTCCCCATATCCTGGCAAGATAAAACTCTTAACCTCGCAAAAAAACTTTTTAATTAAATAATCTCTCATCATCCATGTTCTCTACTTAGTTACAGGCCACAAAATTACTTTTAAACCTTGCTATCTAGTTCCTATAAATATACAAAATAAAGTATACTCAACATTTATGTCCCTAACTTTATACTCATTCAAATTACACTTGGAAGAAAATCACTTCATGTTCCTGTGTGACTCACAAAAACTAAGGGACTAGGAACTAAAATCTAACTCTACCAAAAAACGTCAGCTTAACATAAAGTAAATGAGAAAATAGGAAGGACACTTTACCTTTAACAGAATGGTAGTATATAAAATTTAGGTGTAATGCATTTAGGTATTAATTTGAAAAAGGGAGGAACATTCAATCAGAAATTCTGACCCATTTTAATTTACTTTTAAACCACAAACAAAAGAATTTAGTTGAATTAAAATATAATTAAATTTACTATGGATAATAAGATTTTCAAATGAGGGGGGTCTAAAACCTTAAGAAATGTGGATAATTGTTAATACTATTATCTAAAAATGTGCTAAAGCTGTAACTATCATCCTCGAATTTTACCTCTTTTCCCTATCTTTTTTCATGACACCTACAAAACAACTACCACAAAATTATAATAAATGCCAGTGAAAACAAAAAATTATCTGAGATTCTTTTCCTTGCTCTCTTACTTATATTAATGTTGGTTTCATAATAATTGGCAAGGATCAGGTCCTAGGTTTCAAACTGATCTAAAAACACCTGTCAAGTAAAATAACTTAGCTTAAGTTTATTTTCATGAAACAAGAAAACAGCTAAGAGGGTGTTTGCAATGTAAGGCTGCTAGAGTCAACTTTTGTTTCACTAGATATATCTTCAAGTTTCCTTCAAAGTGTTAAAGAGAATCTATCATCTATCTGTCCGGTCTTAAAATAAAACCAGGCCTGTCTAATACCTAGAATCATAGTTCAAATCAAAACTGAAGATCTGCCCTAAAATTTTCTGGGGTAGGAATAAATTATATATACCTAGATGGCTATAATATACATTATCACTTAGGAATAACAGGGGTGAGGGAGTCAGATTACACAATTTTAGAGGTTCTCTGTTTCCTAGAGAATGATACTAAGGATAAAAGAGAAATCTTCCATGTGTTAGATTCTCTGCACACTCTCCCTAGGAGTAGTTACTGACTGACCGAAGTTTATTGCCAAAGCTTACATATATCAAAAATGAAACAGAGAAGGTACGAAAATGGGAGGAAGGTAAGAAAGAGGAAGGGAGAGAGGGACAAAGGCAGGGAAGGAAAGAACAGAAAGGACAGGGGAACGTTAATCAGCAATGTTATATTAAGAACTCAGATAAACTAAGCCTCTACAGACAGCTCTGGAGACAAATCAGAATCTCTAAAAACAAACCACCCTAAATCACCTAAATAAACACCTAGACTTTCCCTAATTCTATTTCCCATTGCTTGAATTTCTTCTTGGTACCAGGCTTTCTGCTAAGCATTTTATTTACATTTTTCATTGACTCCTCAGAGCAGCTGTGCAAAGTAATCTCCTTATGGGTGAGAAAGCTGGAAACTAACACTCAAAATGACCTTTTTTTTTTTTTAAGTATTCTCTCTTAGAATGAAAAGAATGGGAAATTAAACACAAAAATACTAACTTCATAAGCCTACACCAGAACTTTAACATGATCTGACTACAAAAGACTTAGATGTAGAACAAGGGTTGGCACACTTTCCCTAAAGAGTCAAAGAGTAAATATTTCAGGCCTTATAAGTCATGTTCCACTACTATTCAACAGTACCATTGCAGCATCAAAGCACAGAAAATATGTAAATGAATGATATGGCTGAGTTCTAATAAAACCTTATTTATAAAAACAGACAGGATTTGGCCCACCAGTCATAGTTCGCCAATACTGATTTAGAAAATAAACTTCTTCTTGACCAAGTTATTCAATTACCCAACCATCTAATTCAGGAAAGCCAAGAGCAGGAAGGCAAAGTCACCTCTTTCACTTTCAGAGAAGTTATCTCAGTAAACATTTATTCCCTTACCCTTAATTAGCTATTTTTTAAAATCAATAAACATACCTTTCAGGCTGTTGCACTGGAACTAAGTTAGCATGTCTTGCTTAGATTTCATATATCATAAATAAAACTGGGGTCCACTAAAGAGAAACGCCACAGCCTATATTAATTAAAGCATATTGTACTTGAAATTGACATGGCTACTGTACCACTAAAATTTCCATAGTTTCAAACAGCAGCTAAAACATTTGAAGTCTAGAAGTCAGTAATGTTCAAAACTGCCAAATGAACTTCATTTGTCATAATTTACTCCATTATTTTTGAATAAGGTCCTATTGTAAGTGTATAAATTAGTATTTCAATTTAAATTTTCAAAACAAATGGTTTTTATACTGTAGGAAAATAAATGAGCAAGGTAGATTATAAATAAATATATGCACTGGGTGTCTAACTAGCTAAGTTTTATGCATCCTTTCCACTTCACTCCTCCTAAAATAATTATTAGCCAAGAAAGCTCCAATTAGGATTTTCCTTATCTTTAATTTCAGCCAGGCACAAAAGAATAATCACTGTAAGAGCCTCACTAAATAAGCAACAGAGAAAATGACTACTGGCAAAAATAACAATAAACGTTCTATTATAAATTATGATTACCCAATCTCTAATGTCATCATAAACTTGACCTAGTATGCTGGCACCCAACATTATACTCTTTTTCTAATTCTTCTGCAGTACTCAATGCCTAGCAGACTGTATAAAACAAGCCAGTTCAAACCCCACAGTACTGTTAAGATTTTTGCATTTGTTTCTTTGTAATTCATAATGCCCTGTGAAAGCTGTAAAAGGTGGCAGAATTCTTCAGAATGACTATACTGTTTCATTACTACTGCATGAAAGCTGCAAATTGAGAGCCTACAAGTCTTACTTTTTTGTGTTGGATTTCAAAGGCACCAACAACAGTTTTGATACTGCTTTGTTCTTCCAACACAATTTATACTGAAGAAGATTGGAAAGCTTCATGACATGTTCCTTTTATTCACAGAGTCTGCTAATAGAACCCATCAAAACAACATTTCAGATGAGTCCCAACCAATTATTTGTAAGTAAACATTCATTTAATACTAAGACCTACCTTAAGGATGTCCTTTCCATAGACATATCCAGTTAAGGATTCCATGATTCCTGCACTTCATAGTCTATTTAATCTTGGACTGGCATTTGGGATTTATTCAGTTTAAGACTTGAATTAAGGCTCTTTCTTTTTCTGCCTGGCTTTAAGTCAAGCTGCCATTCATAAGAATTTCAATGTCTTAGTAGAGAAAAATACGTTTCTAATTCTATTAGCTAAGAATAAATAAGAATCAGATTGTCAGAAGAACTAATGATTAAACAGGTGATAAGAAAAGAATTTCCTACTATTTATCAAAGGATTCTCTAAATATTCAAATTCAGGCAAGAAAGAAAAGGGAACAAAGGCAATATAAAAGAAAAGTTCACCTGGCTGGATGTAGTATAGAGACAAGCTCATGAAAAGTAGGGGAGAATCCCAAATGATAAACTCACTGCTTACAAAAGAGCTGGAAAAGTAGAAATGGAGAAGAAGTAACAGATTTCAAATTAAAAACTATTTTAGAGAAAGAAACCTAAGAGATCATCTTAGTCTTCTGTACACATTTTAGTGATGAAGAAACAGGCCCAGAGATAATGCCAATTGCTGGTCCTAGTAAACAAATCTCTCTCCAACATATCACAAAGCCTAAACTCTAACAATCACCAACCATTCCCTTTTTTATCTCTCTCATCTCATCCTCTACTTTTCACTTGACTCCAGACATACTGCTCTCCTGCAGTGTCTTAAACACACCAGGCACACACCTACCTTAGGACTTTTGCAGTTACTGTTCCTTCAGCCTAGAATGTTTCCCTATGTTTCCACCTGGTTCTCTTCATTACTTCCTTGAAGTCTTGACTCACACATAACCATGTAAGGAGGCCTTAACTTGCCACCCTTTCAAAAATTGCAACTCCTTCATCATTATGCTGGACATTTCCTACTCTTCTTCCCACTTTCTCTTTCTTCTTAGCACCTATAAATATTTAACATACTGCACGT